AAATCCCTAAAATCCGAGCTCAAAGATGTGCAAATGGGGAAAAATCCCGAAGTGTTCAATTTATACTTTCTGCCCAGCAAAATCGCATTTGCGGTACCATTTACGCTTCTGCGACGCCGCACCTGCAGAAATTCCATCGCAAGTGCGGATCCCACTTACTCTCCCAAAATCTGCATTTGCGGTCAAATACTCGCACCAACGAGTGCACACCTGGGGGCCCAGCCCGCTTCTGCGATCCTTTCTTCTCAGGCCCTTTTTCCGTATCTGCGCTCCACTTCTGCATCTGCTATTCCGCAGATGCGCTCCTAATCTCGCACATGCACTTCCAGTCCACCTCATCCTTGCCCGCATTTGCAAGCTCCTCTTCGCTTCTGCAGGGCCGCACCTGGGGGATCCCCACCGCAGGTGCAAAAATACCGAACCGGCAGCTTCAGCTACACTTCTTCAACTCCAAACAATCCGATAACCACCCAAAATCACCCGAGGCCCTCGGGATCACAACCAAACATACCGACACGTCCCATAACATCATACGAACTTAGTCGAACCTTCGAATTACTCAAAACAACATCAAGACACCAAATTACACTTGGATTCAAGCCTAAGAACTTCTAAACTTCCGAATTCCACAAACGATGTCGAAACCCACCAAACTGCATCCGAATGACCTCAAATTTTGCTCACAAGTCAAAAATGACACAACAGACCTACTCCAACTTCCGGAATTCCATTCCGACCCCGATATCAAAATTTCCACTGCCGACCAAAATCGCCAAAATTCTAACTTTCGCCAATTCAAGCCTAGTTCTACCACAGACCTCCAAATCACATTCCGGACGCGCTCATAAGTCCAAAATCACCTAACTGAGCTAACGGAACCATCAAAATTTGAATCCAAGGTCGTTTACACATAAGTCAACATCCGATCAACTCTTTCAACTTAAACCTTCTCATAAGAGACTAAGTGTCTCAATTCACTCCAAAATCACTCCGGACCCGAACCAACTAACCCGGTAGGCCAAAATACAACTATAGAACACAAAAGAAGCAGAAAAAGGGGGAACGGGGCGACAACTCTTGAAATTACCTGCCGGATCGTTACAACCTGACTCCTTGAAGATGATGATGGATAGGATAGATACATATGACAAGATCTCAGGACAACATGTAAATAAATCCAAATCTGGGTTTTATGTTGACTTCAAGGATGATGATACATGGATCAATTAAATCAAGCAGATCAGTGGATTCAACCACTGCCAATTCCCAATGCAATACCTTGGTTGTCCTATGTACATAGGAAGGAAAGAAGTTATTTATTTCAATAATATGGTGGCTAATATTGTAAAAGGATTCAAGGATGGCATGGTAAACTACTATCTTATGGAGGCAAAGTTGTTCTTATTAAATCAGTCCTGTAGGCTATTCTTCTCCATACTCTATCGGTTTTCCAGCATCCCAATACAAAAAATACCAAATTGAAAAGATCATCACTAATTTTTTCTGGGGTATGGATGGTAACAGAAACAAAAAGCATTGGATCGCTCGGAAGGATCTTTTCTTCCCAGTTGAGAAAGGGGGTGCTGGATTCAGATCTCTTACAGATACATGTAATGCCTTCTCTGCTAAGATGTGGTGGAAATTCAAAACTCAAAAATATCTCCTCAAGGACTTTTTGGAAGCTAAGTACTGTAGAAGGTTTCATCCGGTGGCAAAAAAAAAGAGCTTATAACTAGTCTCATACTTGAAGAAGAATGATGGATATTAAAGACAAGGTGGAACCTTGTATATCCTAGTGATGGATTTTCAATGTCTTTGCCTTATGTTTTGATGATCTAACAAACTTACTGTCAAGAACCAGATAGGGAACCTGACATACTTGGTACACATGGCAAATGAACGGATTCCAGCCTGAACTCCAGCTAATGTGAACTGCTGCAAGTGTAGAGAATAGAGAAATAAAACAGGGACCTGATCCCTTGTGTTCCCCTGACAGCAGTACGAAAGTCAACAATACAGCTGGAAAGCAACTACAGAAAGTAACTGCCTGCAACTATACACGCTGCAGTGCAGCAGTCACTTCCTATTGGGAAGAGGCATGTACCAACCAAGAATTGACATCATCCTTGGGATGTCTTTGGTAGTATAATAACATGGTGAAAAGCAACAAGACACTTACTTGAGCATTTAGTGATATTCTCTCAAGCATTGAAGATCTGATCCAGCATTGAAGTCACAAGTATGTCAAGAACAAGAAGACAACTCCACTAAGGATCAATTCCACAATGAGTCTATGTGTGTCCTTAGTTGAGTTGTAATCTTGTTGTTTGTTCTTCATTATAAATCCTATATTGCTTTCTTAGAAGCTTTATTTTAGGAAACTCAAAATCATAAACCTTCTGAGTTTGTGTTGTGACTAGAGTTAGTCATAAGTTAAAGTCTTCGTAATTAATGAGTGACAAAGTGGCTTGTGGTAAGTTTATCACAAGTTAGAATAGTTGAAGTCTTTGTAACAGAGTCATTACAAAGTGGCTTGTAATAGTGTGTTTACAAGTTAGTGAAGTTGAAAGCCTACAAGTGTAGGTCGTGGTTTTTGTCCCCTTGAGTTGGGAATTTTCCACGTAAAAATCTCGTGTCTCATTTACATACTGTTTTAGTAGTTAACACTAAGGGAACTGATATAGGACCAGGTACTCTATCGTTTGGTGGACTCACATAAACTAACAATTGGTATCAAAGCAGGTTCTTTCTAAAAGGTTAACACCTAGAAAGGATCTCAATGGCTGCTCCGCCTAACTTTGAGGAAGGACAATCAACCTACAGACCTCCTAGATTCAATGGTCAGTACTACGAATGGTGGAAGACTCGCATGCATGATTTTATAATGGCAGAAGACTCCGAGCTGTGGTACGTCATTTGTGATGGTCCACATGTTCCTATGCAGAAGGTTGGAGAAGCTGGAATAATGGTGCCTAAAACCAGAAAAGAATACAGTGACATCGACAGAAAAGTTGTTGAAAAGAATTTTCGTGCCAAGAAGATCTTGGTATGCGGTAAAGGACCTGATGAGTACAATAGAATCTCAGCCTGTCAATCTGCCAAGGAAATATGGGAAGCATTGCAAACGGCACATGAAGGAACCACCACTACTAGAAAGTGGAGCTATGGCAACGCTTTTTATTGCCACGGTTCTATAACCGTTGCTATAGATGGTCTGTTGCAACGGTTTCAACCGTTGCGTAAGGTAATTGGTACTATCGGCACAGTTTAACCCCTAAACCGTTGCAGTAGTCTAAAAACCGTTACAGTAGATTTTCTATGAAAACTGTTTTGGACAACCGTAGCAAGAAGCTTATCTATGGTAATAGTTTTTGCAATTTTAATGTACGGCAACGGTTACTAATTTCCTCTAAAATTTCCCCCAAATTTTGGACGTCCCGCTAAATTTATAGACCCCACTTCTATATTAAATATAAAATATATTTAATATTTAATAAAATAATAAAACCTAATAATATACCTATACACACGGAGATTACGAGAACAAATACCATCTCTTCCAAAAAGTTCCGACCTCTCTCTCCCAAAAACCTTCGCCGGAGATTACGAGGAAGACAAACCACCATCGGCGGCACAGGTAAGTTGCATTTTTCATTACGATTCCAACCTGTATTCTACCATTCTTGTTTATTTTCTTTAAAATCTTAGTCATCCCTTCTGTTTAACCACATCCCTGTACCTCCCATTACGCGCAAACGCAGTAATTAAAGAAGTATATGCATAAACATCGATATCAAAACCATCTTTATGAAAATTATGAAGCAATGATGATGCCACTGAAATCCTACCCTCTTTCCCAAGAATGCTTATAACCACAGCAATAACAGACCCATTTAACAAAACCCTAGAATCGGGTCGATTTCGAACCCATTCAAACAATTGTGTGCTGAATTTGTTTTAATTTTTTGTTGTCGATTTAATTGACGGTTATTCTGGTTTTTGGGCTTTCCTTGCACTCCCTTGCTTTTTCGTTTTATTATTACTTCTTATGCTATTTTTGCAATTTGTAGCGTGGTGGATTATTTTTTCAATTGATTTTCTGTGTTTCTGAGAGCTTCCTCAACAATCTTCTCGTTTTCCTTCTTTGTTCCTTGATTTTCAGGAAAAGAAAAACCTTTTACTAATGCCTACTGATGCTGTCGAGATTTTGATCAGTCAAGATTGGAGAGGTAGGTTGTATATCCATTTTAGCCTGTCATATTTTCTTTTAGGTGTAGTTCAGAAGGAGGAAACTGTTATTCATATAAAATATTTTATAATGGAAAACATGTGTGGTAATTGTACAAGGGCGAAGGATAGGGTATAGGAGATATTTTTAGGTATTAAAACTTGAAAATACTCTCTAACTGTTGATTGAACCAAGTATTAGTTAGCATTTTGTAAAGGAAAATGTCTCTGTGCATAAATGACTTTCTTAAAGAAAAGAAATTCCAAACACTAGAACATGATTTTATTACAAAAATATTTCTCTATACAAAATAATTTTGTGAAGACTGATGAGATACAAGATCTAAGCTAGTCTCCTAGACCTATTAAGTTATTCGCTTTCAGTCCTTTAGGCATAATGGAGATAAAAAAATGTGAAAAGAGGAAAAGAAAAAATTGTACACCTTTTTATGGACCACAGTTTTATCGTACTAATAATCTTATTATAGCTCTTTTGAAACTGTTAAACTAAACTAGTAACCACAATATAATGAGAGAATGCAGTAAAAACTAGCTGCATCTGACTGTTCGTTAGTGGTTTGTGTACCACATTCGAGTACGTTTCTGCAAAAGAACAAAAACAAAAAGCACTTGTAGTAGTGTTTTGCATTTCATTTAGATAGGCTAAATATTTGATTCTTTGTGGGGTTCATGTTTTCCTTATCAGTTACAATAGTATTCAGAGGCAGAACTACATGTGTTGAAGGGGCGGAGCAGGTATGTATAATTCCTCCATCTCTATCTTTAGTTTTTCAAAATAAAGACATTCTCGCGAAAGATAGTTTGCTTAAAACAGGTTCAATTTTCTCTAGTGTGAAAGCTGATGAAAATATCAAGAATGAATGAAATTTTCTACTAATTGACTTTTGAAGTTATAGAATCTAATGCTAGTACTCTTTTTTAACTCTTAATAGTATACTTAAGAAATCAAATGGTTTCTCTTCTCCACTGTTGACTGATGCGAAGAACTTTTTTGGTACCATCTGAAGGTTATCCATTTTTCTACCAGATGCATCTGCAAAATCAGACCACCTCATCAAGAAAGAACAGGGAAACGAGAGATAAAGAATCATCTATATCCTAATATGACGTAATGCATGGGTAATCTTTTCTCTCTTTTTATTAACAATCTTCATATCACTAAGATAAACCATACTTGATTGAGAAACCTTTAGCTTCTTCTTAAGTATATCATGTCAAAGAGACAAGAACATTCTAATAACTGAATAGGTGACATGCCAAACCATCCTGCTACCTCTTCATTTCAATCTTGTTTTGTGCAGATTGGTATCCTATTTTTCAATATACGGATAAGTATCCTGTTTGACAGTTCTCTTTCCTATTTTCCTCTTCGGATATTTGAATCTTTGGTAGTTTTCCATGAAAGCTGAAGTGTTCTACATTAAATAAGTATTTACAATTCCAATCTACTAAAGTTCTCTAAAAGACTAGTTGTATCTGGTAGTAAGTGTAATGTATCAACCTTCTGTTTGTTGAGCTGCTGCCACCAGTGCAAGGGTGGTGGAGTCTGCAACATTTGCAAAAGCAAATACCATAAGTTGTACATTATTTCCTGCTACGAACGTAAAAATGAACTCTGCTCCGTTTGGTTCTGTAGCTCTCTTTCCCTAAATCAGATCAACATAACATTAGTAACAACTTGAGGAGAAAAAATTATTTGAATTGTATATTAGATTTCATATATGATGAGTTCATAATTGTAATTACCATGTCCATGGTTTTGAGAAAAGCTTTAGTGGCATTTTCAGCAGACCAACAACCCATTTTCTGTTTCTTTGTAATTTTCTGAAATCTACATTCTGCTTGGGTTAGTTTGGTAAGGCATCTACATTCTTGCTGATAGTTTCCTGTTTCTTCCTGTTTAAAAACCTAATATTGTCCTGTTTATTCCTGTTTAACAACCCATTTTCTGTTTCTTGCAACTTAACAACAGAACTGCAACAACTAAAAGTTGAAATCTAGGCTGTTTCTGATCAGTTTCCTGCAACAATTTTGGCAGCAAATCTGCACCGGTGAGCTCTCAAGTTAGCTGTGTTTTGGTTTATGTGTTCCTCTGTTATTTGATAACCTATATTGTGTTTGCTTTTTCAGAATCTGAAAAATATTTGAATAGACATGAATCAAGAAGGATGCTCAAGCAAAAATAAGAAAATATCCAACAGTATTCCAGCTGGATCACTTGCATCTTTGCGAAATCACCGTCTGAACCCAGATTTGCAACTTGATCCTGAAATGTTAAGGTTCAGTGCACGTTCACCTGTACAAGCTTCCTCTGCACAACAAACTGTTGTTCAACTAAATAGTCGACCATGTGCTGGTAGTAACAATCAAGGTCAGTACGTACCAACAATTATATATCTTCTTCTATTTCTTCCTCTCCTCCTTCCTTGCTTGGGATTTTGCTTTGGTTCAAGGTAGAGTGGATATGGTAATATCTTTTTTTCTTCCTATTGATGTGCCTATTTCGGTATTATTTGTATCCAACTGAGAATCAATGGTTGAGGTTGTAGTTGTGGTTGGGACTTGGTACTTATGTGTCAAACTTGGTTGTCTTGTTTGGGGTTCCTGCTTTTTCGGGCATTCTACATTGCTAAGAAGTAGCTCTAAGGCTCATTCTTGTAGCAATTTTGGATTAGTGTTGCATTATATGTTTAGAATTAGATAGTGATATAGATATGTGAATGAGTTTGCTGAGGACTTCACTGACTTGATTAGAATGCTTTTAATTGTATAAAAGTGTTTAGTGAGTTATACAATGTACCAACTAAAATGTAGAAAATATAAATAATGATAAATCTGCAATTTTCACACTAATATGAATCATTTAAGGTTCTCCTTAAAGTCAAGACTGGTATTCTCTTATTGGATAGGAAGCTGGATGCAACAATCCTCCATCAACACAAGGTTGTGAATAGAGGAAAACAACTTACAGTTTCTCCATCTGTAACTGTAACTGCCCCAATAGCCTGCCTCCCTATAAGACCTGTCTCAACCGTTATCTATAAAAATGCAATAAACTGATTCAGAAGATAGATAGCTCAATAGCTCAGGAAGCTTAATGTATTATTTTCAAGTTGGATCGATCAAGAAAATAGATATCCATTTATTTTAACACTTGGTCAATTGCCCACCAAGTCAACCTACAAATGGAACAGAAGAAACATTACTTATTATTGTCATATTTAGCTTCACGAGAACCAAACTAGGAAGTAAAATTTAACTATCTTCCTCTAGGGCCAAACGAATTAAAAAAACAAGTAAAATAATGCACATGGAAAACAGTAGTGACGCATTTAGAGAAGATGCAAAATGGTCAAGTTCTGGATAGATGCAAAATGCTTCAGCTGTTGATTCAACCTCTGCCTTGGTGAAGTCTAGGATTTGGTGGATATAAAGTATCCATAACTAACAAACACAAGGCCTGCCCAACAAGTGTCATAAATTTTTGCAGAACCATCCAATTTTAATGTTAATCCACTAATCTTCCTTCCTTTTATCCCTCGTATTCTCCTGTAGTTTTGAATATCATTTTGATGACATTTTCATGTGCATCTTGCCAGTATTTTGTCTCGGTTGCCCTGCAATATTGGGTCAAATCTCATTTTCATTGGGGAGTTGTTCCTTTCTCTAGCATCTGTTATGGGACACTCATCCTTTTGCTAATCTTTTCTCCATCTATTCATACTAAACCAACAATACTAGGATCATGTCATTCAACAAACAAACCTTTGGCTGGTACTGTATATTTGAGAACTAATAAATTTGGTTAAACTAGAAGGCATTACCTTTAAAGCCAAAGAGTTTGAATCTTTATGCACAGTTGATTTTCTTTTTCCAGAAGGTAAGATTTGGGTTCGTCCGCCTGTTGTTGGCCTTGATGTCATGCGCCACCCTCGTGATCCCTCCATAATTTTGGTTCTATTGAATTTGTAAGTTGCTTCTTCTATTGTCTAACTATTAATAACTTTATTTATCCTCTTTTGTAGGTGAAGAAGATCAAGAAGATGATGAAGAAGATCAACTTGAGATAGAATTTTGAATTGTTATAGATGAATGTTTTAGGAATCTTTTGTTATCAATATTTTTGGAACTTACTTACTCTCTTGAAATGTACTAAACTTATGCACTTGGGTAGAACATTTGCTTTATGGATAATTTTATATTATTATTAATAGTCTCATTTTATGATGTGTGTGTGTGTGTCTATATATATATATATATATATATATATATATTGTAACATGTGCTATATTTTGGTTTTAACTGAATTGACACAATAGCCTTCCAGAACCGTTGTAATAGGACACAAATAACGTTCCAGTCGACAATATAAACCGTTGCAATAGGTCCTATAAAATGTTCCAAATTGATCTATAAACCGTTGCAAAAACAAATATAACCGTTGCGGTAGCTTAAAAAAACCGTTGCTATATCTATAAATAACCGTAACAATAGCTTACATAAGTATTGCTTTAAATAATATGGTAACGGTTAAGAACCGTTGTATAAACAATATAGTAACGGTTTAAACCGTTCCAATTGAAAAAAATAAACGTTCTAATAGAGAAGGGAAAAACCGTTGCGATAGGCGTATCTATAGGTACGACGATGCAAACCGTTGCAAGAACCGTTCCAATAGACCTTTGGGCATGGGGGCTGATGTAACGGGTTGTAAACCGTTCCAACATACCTATGGTAACGGTTTAACAGTCTGTGGGAATAGTTTTCTAACCGTTACAGTAGACCAATTTTTCAGTAGTGCACTCAGGTTAAACAATTCAAGATTGACATGCTCACCACCGAGTATGAGCTCTTCAAAATAAAAGATGATGAGTCTATACAATATTTGCACACTAGATTCACATCTATCATAAATGAGCTTCATTCACTTGGAGAAATCATTCCCACAAACAGGCTTGTTAGGAAAGTTCTTAGCGTTTTACCTAGCTCTTGGGAGAGTAAGGTGAATGCTATCACTGAAGCTAAGGATTTGCAAACTCTAACCATGGATGAGCTGATTGGAAATATGAAGACATACGAGATGAAAAGAAAGAAAGACAGTGAAAGAAGAGAGCCAAAGAAGGAGAAGAACCTGGTGCTCAAGGGTGAAAACAGTGACTCAAGTGAAGAAGATAGTGATATGGCCTATCTTACTAAAAGGTTTCAAAAGATGGTTCGAAGAAATGGTGGTATACCAAAAAGGGGCAGTTCAAGTAAGCCAAGGAACTATGATCTGTGTCACAAGTGTGGAAAGCCAGGGAATTTCATCAAGGACTGTCCATTTCTAAAACAAGAGCATTACAAAAACAACACTGACAAAGGAGCAAAAAGAAACCCAGTCCCTGACAAACGATTCAGTCGAAAAAGTGCAGCTGACAATGTTGTGAAGCAAGCCCTAGCTGCATAGGAGATTCCTCCAGTGAATCAGAAAGGAAACCGGATTCAGGAAACAGCCCCATGATGGCAGTGGAAAATGAAGCAAAGGAATATGACTCACTGTTTGTACTGATGGCTCAGTCTGATGATGATGAAGAGGACGAAAATGATGAGGTAAATTTCAGGGATGTTCAGAAAAATCTGAAGTCTTACTCTTCTAAGAAATTAATGTCATTAGAAAATGTTCTAATTGATGCATATTATAGCCTTATTAATGATAATGATATCTGGACCATAGAGCTAGGAGATGCTGAATAATCTAGAGATGATCTGGTGGTCTGTGTAGTTGATTTAAATGAGACCATAGCCAATCTTGAAAAAGAAAAAGAAGCTCTAACTGAAAAAATAAATAGTGTAGAAAATGAGAGAGATTACTTGATGGTAGTGGTTGTTGACTTGAAGGAAACCATAGAAAGCTTTAGCAATCAAAAGCATACTCTAGAAGAGAAAATTGCAGCTACTGAGCAAGAGAGGGATGACTTTTTGGTGATAATCACTGACCTTGATGAAACTATTGAGGGACTCAAATCAGAACTTAGGCATGCAAGTATTGAGAAAGGGAAAGAAGTAGCTAGTGAGACACACATCAAGCTTGAAAAGGAATTAAATGATGTTAAAACTAGTCTATGTGGAGAACTGGAGAAAAATAGGCAACTTCAAGCTGAATTGGAGAAAGTACAAATTGACCTTGAAAAATCTCTTAAGTGGACCTGGTCCTCAAAAGCCGTCATTGCCATGTACCTCAACAATAGTGGAAACAGGCAGGGAATCGGGTTCCAAAAGGAGAAAACTCGTTACAACCCTCACAGCAAGTACGTCACTATTCCCGATAACTGGCTTTGTACCCACTGTGGGAACAATAGGCACTTCAAAGAAAATTGCCAGGCCAGGGTTAAATTCGTTCAGAAAAACAAAGTGTTTGCTGAAAAAGTGACTACTAGAAGGGGGACCAGGTACCACTCGCAAAAATTGCATATCGCCTGCATGGACTAAGAAAGCTCTTATCCACCCTTTTCCTCACTACAAGGGACCCAAACTAGTTTGGGTTCCTAAATCTAACCCATAATTTATATGTGCAGGGAACAGTGAGAGGAAGCGGACTGCAATGGATCATGGACAGTGGATGCTCAAAGCACATGACTGGAAACACCATGGATTTTCTCTCACTGAAAGCCCTGCAAGGAAGGAATGTATCCTTTGGAAATGGAAAGAAGGGGTACATTCTTGGTGTCAAAAAGGTTGGAAAGTCTCTTTCACACTCAATTGAAAATGTGTACTATGTGGATGGCCTGAAGTATAGTCTCTTGAGTGTCTCTCAAATCTACGATAAAGGAAATAAAGTAGAGTTTGTGTCTAAGGTATGCACAGTTATAAATCTGGTAACAGATGAAGTGGTTCCCGTAGCCAAAAGAGACAAGAACATCTATGTTGCTGATTTTGAATCTCTGCAAGCTGGCGATATGAGCTGCTTGAAGGCAGTTGATAATGATGCGGAGCTTTGGAATAGAAGATTGGGGGCATGCAAAGTTCTCACTTCTGAATAAATTGATAAAAAAGGACCTGGTCCATGGTCTTCCAAATTCAAAGTTCAAAGAACACGGAGTGTGTGATGTATGTACTAGAGGAAAACATGTGAAATCATCCTTTAAGCCCAAGAAGGATGTCAGCACATCAAAACCACTCGAACTCCTTCATATGGATTTGTATGGTCCTATGAGAATACCAAGCATGGTGAAAAGAAGTATATCTTTGTGATTGTGGACGACTATTCAAGATTCAATTGGACATTGTTTCTTAGGACAAAAGATGAGACTTTCGAGGTATTTGTGGCCTTTGTCAAGAAAATCCAAGTGAAGATGGAATTGAAAGTAGCCTGCATCAGATCTGACCATGGAACAGAATTTGACAACGCAAAATTTGATGAGTTTGAAATGAAAATGGGGTTACTCACAACTTCTCAGCTCCAAGGACTCCACAGCAAAATGGTGCTGTTGAAATAAAGAACAGAACTCTGGATGACATGGCACAAACAATGCTCATTGTCAGTGGAATAGCAAAAATTTCTGGGCAGAGGCAATAAACACTGCGTGCTACTTGGTGAACATGCGCATGATCCGGTCCCTCCTGAACAAAACTCCTTATGAGTTACTCAATGGTAGAAAACCAAAGATAACTCATTCGAGAACCCTTAGATGCAAATGCTATGTTCTCAACAATAGGAAGGACAAGCTTGGGAAGTTTGATGCAAAAAGTGATGAAGGAATCTTTCTGGGATATTCCTCACAAAGCAAAGCTTACAAGGTCTACACCAAAAGGACATAATGTTTGAAAGAAAGTGTCAATGTGTTGTTCAACGAGACACCCTCTTCTAATAAGGAAGGAAATAGTGATGATCAAGACAATGAACCACTTTTGGTTCCTGGGGAAATATCTGATGCTTCTAATGGCAAGGCTGACATGATGAGCCAAATGAGGGAAGCAGGTGAAGAAAATACGACACCCTCTCCCACTCCTCAAGACGAACCTGGTATTCCAATCACTACGACTGAGGCTGAAGAAAGAGTTGGAGATGCAGTCCAAGGCACTCCACAAGTAGCAGAACAAGGAGTGCAGGGAAATCCTTCCAATTTGCCCAGTTCCTCTACCAATCAAACTTCAGTCCCAAGTTAGAAACACAAAAGCTCCCATCCACTTGATAATAAAATCACCCCCTTGATTCTGGAGTTCAGACAAGATCAAAAGCCAGAAATTCCCTAGTCTTCTCTGCATTTCTATCCCAGATAGAACCCAAAAATATCAAGGAAGCCTTGAAGGATGCTGACTGGATTACATCAATGCAAGAGGAACTGCATCAATTTGATAGAAACAAGGTTATCTGGTGGACAAGAAGAGCACATCTGGAATGGCTTATTTTCTTGGGTCATGCTTAATCTCATGGGGTACAAGGAAACAAAACCTAGTGGCTCTCTCAACAGCTAAAGCAGACGCTCTTAACATGGCAAAGAACCCGGTCCAGCACAAGAGAACCAAACACATTGATGCCAGACACCATTGTCTCAGAGATAATGTGGAAAATGGACTTATTTGTATGAGATTTTGCTGCACAGAAGATCAAATTGCAGACATCTTCACAAAAGCTTTGAGCAGGGAACACTTTGAGAGAAATAGGATGGCACTTGGGTTAATTAAACCTACGTGAGAACCTGGTTCTGCGCACATGACCATAAAAGTCTCATTCAGGTAAAATTGGCTAAAGTATTTTCTGACTAGGCCTAACTCACATCTATACCATTGCAGGTAAACACGCATGACGATCATAGAAGCTAAAGGTACAGTGTTGAACTGCGAAAGAGAGCTGCAAAAACCTTTTACAAAAACATGTCAGGAACCAGGTTCCTGTACCACAGGTTAGTAGTAATGTGTTTTTCGCATGCTTTTTCAAAATATAAAAGGGCAACAAAATTAATTCAACTGCCACATCATTCGACTTTTCAGAGTCTACATATCACGTCTTATCTTTCAAATCCTTTCACCTCCTCTGCACGTTACGTATTCCCACAAACCTACCGCCGTTTCAAAATCCTTCAAAACCCGTTCCTCTCCCCTCCCATTATTAGCCCTTCTTCCCATAAGACCCCCTCTCTCTCACAGTAGTTATGAACCTTCATCTCCTCTGTATCTCTGTAATCCCCTCTTCCCTTCTCTCTCACTCAAATTTCTCTACCAAATCTT